TTGATTTCTTTATTAAGCAAAACTATTATACAATTTCCAGCTAGAAAACACTAATATGATGCCTCTGGCACAAAATGCTCCCTGGACCCTTGGGAGCTGCTAAGTAAAAGTGACACAGTTCTTGTGCTTCACCACTGCCCAGTGAGAGAGTTTTCCCATCGCTGTTCAGTGGTAGGCAGCAGTAACACTGTCAAGAATCATGTTAGTTTTATTTAGAAGCTGGTCAGGCCTTGCAGGGTCTGCAGCTTTGGACTAGGGACCACAGGATTCCCAGATTTCCTAGCTATCTGATTGTGTGAGCTGCCCAGGCTGTCTTAGGAGCCTGGAGAGCTGCCCCAGGATCCATTGGGCTTGTTGATACCAAGGCAGCAGTGTGTCACAGTATGCATGAGGCTAAGCAGGCTCCATGTGCTCCATAGCTAAAAGTTTCATAGTTTCTAGGGTCGGAAGGGACCTGAGCAGATCATTTAGTCTGACCCCCTGCCATGGCAGGAAAGAGTACTGGGGTCAAACGACCCCAGCAAGGTGTTCATCTACCCTCCTCTTAAAACCCCCCAGGGTAGGAGCCTGCACCACTTCTTGGAAGTTGGTTCCAGACCCTAGCCGCCCTGACCGTGAAGTAGCGCCTCCTGATATCTAACCTAAACCTACCCTCTGCCAGCTTGTGACCATTATTTCTGGTCACTCCTGACGGTGCTCAGGGGAACAGTGACTCCCCCAATGCCTGCTGATCCCCCCTGACTAGTTTATAACAGGCCACAAGATCCCCCCACAGCCTTCTCTTTGCCAGCAAGACTGCTCTGGGATAGTTCTTCCCAATTTCGATACTCACACTGGCATAGGCAGGCCCCAGACTCCTGGCTCCCTAGCAGAGAGCCTAGAATAGCTTCCAAATTCCCTGTTAAGGCCCAGGAACCAGACCCTGATGCATGTCAGAGCTCCCCATTCTCTTGGTGTGGCTGCACAGAGTCCCCAGTTTAGGGCAATCTGTGTAATGAAGCTGCTGCTGCAGACCTACAGATTGTGGAAGCCTGAGCTCTATAGCACCCTGCCAAGCATCTAGTCTCCTGCCAGCTCAAGACTGTTGGAAACCTTCATGTGGGACATCAGAAGTTTAAACCAGAGATGGTTTCACAGAATTGGGTTTTACCAGGAAGCTTCCAACTGTTTTACTGTTGATACAGCAAGAGAAACAATCCAGAGTTTAAGTTTTGGATTCCAAATTCAATTTGCAGCACTTTGACAAACAGGCTTGAGGGCTTTTGGATTAGTATTTTTTTAAAAGCTGGTAAACTGGTGAACTTGATATTTAAAGCATTAATATATCAGTAAGGAACTCCACAAAGCCACTCTTACAGTCACTCTTGGGTTAAAACAATTAAAAGATGAGAGGGAGAATCAATCCCAAAGATTCAAAAGCCTGCATCTTACTAAACCATCTAATCAATGTAAAAGCTACAGAAATCTTTTTGTGTCTGAAATACTGAACACATCCTACATTTCGGATACTATTAGAAACCATGGGCACTTTCATAAGATTACTAAACTCTTTCAGTGAATATTTTACCATTCAATATTTTTTATTATGGTGTTTGACTGCTTGGTGCATTGCAATAGCATATGCAGAGAAAACGCAAAAGTCCCTGCTAAGAACTTGATCTCATTGCTTAATCCAGAAACACTTTACCAAACTAAGTCTTTTTTTAACAGAAAAGGAAATATCTTGATGGTCTCAACCCATTTACTAGTAGATAAATGTCACATATTGGAGAGGTGACTGGCAAACTTCTCTGAACTATCTGGAGAAATTTCAAAGAATAAAGGAGCTTGGAGACCTCAAACAGAAATGCAGAACAGTTCGCTTACAGACTACTGCATAATCTGCATAGCAATTACAGCCTAGACTGAAGACACTAGAAAAGAACTGCTGAAAGAGCTCTGACTAATGTTACCACATTACTAATTTAACTGAACAGAATGCTTATACAATTTCAGCCATTTGATTTCAAAGACAAATGCATATGAATACGTCTACATTTGGATCCAAAATTTTATTTTAAAAGATATTCTTGGTAAATGGTTCTAATTAAACAGCAGTAAGGTAAAGAGCTGAGATTAGTACCTCCTTTGTGATGACCGGCAGCTCGGAAGCCAGGTTCAGCCAGTGAGTTGCTGCAGAGTTATTCCCCAGATCTCTATAGCACTGTAAAGCAAATTGGCAACAGTAAGAAATGTCAAGAAGATAGACTGCAGAAAATAACATGTGGTAAAGGAAGCAGTCTTGCTACTGATGAAGAGAAGGGCTTCTTCCACCTTTCCAATATCTACAAAGAGATATCCCTGAAGTGCCTTTCACTGGCAAAGCACTATAAACAATGCCTTGTACCAGGATAGCAAATAATTTAATTGTGGCACGAGGAAGTTTTAGGACCCTTCTCCATGTTTTTTCTAGTACAGATGGCAGTTCCCTGGATTTATTCTCATTCCATTTATATTCTTATTATTCCTTAAGTGACATAGAGGACCAGTTGGCAGTACGGATCCCATCCTTCAAGAGTAACTGTATCATTTTGTGAAGTGCTTTGTCTCCAGGAAGAGTCGTGAACCCAATTCCAAGGTCTAAAAAGTTTAATATTTAGAAGACAGTCAGGTCTGACAACGGATGTACAAAGAAAAGTAAAAGAAATCCTATTGATATAGACAGACCCAGCTATGTTCTCTTATAACAGAAGTTGAACTCCTTTGACCTGAGTAGGACAACTATTCCTACCATCAAGTGCAAAAGAAGCCATGCTCAGGAATGTGCGTATTATACAGCAAGCTAGAACTGAATTCCACGCTGAGCTCCCAGGTACTGGAGTAGCCTAGTGCTCTAATGGAAACATTCTGGAGCAGCTTCAGGTAAACTAAAAACTGGATTTACTTATCTAAAATAAAGACAAAAATATATCACATACTGCAGGTTTCTCCATTAAGCTCTTTTATTTTTATGCAGAGCCATAATTTTTATTTTTCACATATTGCAGAGTTACACCTGCAATTTCTCACTGTCTTGTAAACTGTCATGGGGAAAAGAAGATACGATTTTGAAACTTGGAAAATGCATGTTTCCTTCTTTGGTTTTCAGAAAACCATGGTAGGTAGCTTGGGACTGTGGGACAAGCAAGTTAACTACTAAAAGCAATCAGCAGTGAAACAGGCAATGCTCACTTTTATTGCCACTAGGTTCAAGGGCAGACACTCAATGGGGCTACTCTCACCTCTCAGAGCTACTGTTTCTGGCTCCATTTTTGAAGTTCCCTCTCTATTCTTTAACCATATTAAAGCAGAGATTGAAAATGCATAATCAGCTGAAAGCAAAACACAAGATTCTCCAGTTACGGAACTGTGCAATACCACATTTAATTAAAACCACTCCCCTATTACTTTAATGCTCTACTTTTAGAAGTGGAAACTTTGGAACTGCATAGGAGCAGGCTGGATTATGCATTTCCCCCACATACTGACAAAAAGAACATTTGCGACAGTACATACAAGGAGGTTTTAGAGACTGAAAGTAATGCTCATTTATGGAGGTAGAATTTAAGCTGTTGTGGCACACAGTAGTTTTACTGGTACGCAGACATAACCATCCATGGCATATCAATGATGGAATTGTGGTAGGTTCAGAGGCTCATGCAGCTTTAAGTTGGTTTCCTTCATGGCTTGATATTACTTTCTGTTTCTCAATAAACTTAGACCCTTTCCTTTCAAGTAAACTCTTCACCTTGGTTCACATACTAATACATTCCAGACCAGGAACAGAACCTAAAACTCGCACGCTACCCAGATAAAACTGACACTCTTTGGGGCTTTGGGAATAGAGTGATTTCACAGAGCATGACTAAAGCTACACTTTGCTACTAAAGCTGTTTGGGTTTTAAACATTTCTAGACTTTAACAGGAGGCCAAAAGAACTAACCATACATATCTATTTAAGGATACAAAAGAATTCTCTTAACAAAAAAACCCCCAAAAAACAAGTGTCTTGGCTTTAGTGAAGCCAGCACATTCATGGCATGTTTAATTTCTATTTAGGACTGCCTTCTGTATGAGGAAAAGAGGGGGTTATGTTGAATATTCCCCCAGTCCTCTTCTTGCATACAGCTTACAGCTGGAAGTGTCAGTTAAGAGGCTGTGGCTTACAAGTTTAGCAACATGCATTTTTAATCAGAACTTTAATCTGCTAAATTAACATGAGCATCCCTATAAAGGCAAAATCTCCAAAGAAAGAACAGTCATTAGGAATGCCCTATCTTCCTGCATGAGATGAATTATTATTTTTGCCCATTTAAAAATAAGTTGCAATTCATTAACTTATAAGTTAACTACCCACATACAAACACACCATACTGCATTTCCACATCATCAATTCAGGGAGCTCCAAATACTTTACAAACCTGAATTATTTTTAACACGTACACTTCATGCTGCACATGGCCTGAAGTGAATAAAATCAACTGACCCAGTGCATGGCCTTACCTTGGCAATGTATACTCTTCCTGCTTTGGAAAATCCTGGATTCAGCTCCTCAACCTAAAGTGCAAGACAAAGGGAAAATAACAGCAGACGCTAGGATTTACAAGGGGCCCATTTTGAACAGTTCGGCCTGACCTATGCAACGCCCATATTTCAAATCAGGGTGTAAACTTTAATTTTAACATTCAGGGCTGTCCTTAAGCTATGTCAATTTAACATCTGTTTAGAAGTTAATTTAATTTAAATCAGTGCAACCCATTGTGCAAGCATTCTTAAGGTAAATGAAGAGTACCTTCATATGTTATCTTTCCAGCTCCTTGTTAGACTTGGTGTCCTCCTTCAGATACCCTAGTTGCTTCCCCGCCTCATTCTCTCTCAGTCTAGTTTCTCCTCAACTCATCTTACTAGCCCCATTTCCTTCTCTCTACACCACCACCTTGTCTTCACTTTCCCTAGGCTTCTTGTTTCAACTGAATTCTAACCCAACCAAGCCTGACCTTTGCTCCGTCTGCATTCAAATCAAGCTGCCTCCTCTTCATCCACTCTGGGCTCCACAGGGGAAGCACCAAGACAGCAAGATAGAAGCCACTGGTACCTGGACTCAGAACTGGGTCAGGCTGCAACTGTCCAGAATTTCAGCTGCAGGGGAAGCCCTGTTCACCTGGTGCACAGACAGGGCACATGCTTTTAGCTGCACAGCTCTAGCAAGTCTCTATTGAGCCTGTATGATCTGCAAAGTTTCAAAGGCTTATAACTTGCTGTTAAGCATATACTATGTGCCATTTGCCACTTCCATAAAAAATCTGGCCAAATCTGACCAATGTTAGCTGCCTGCAGAATTTCATGTACTGCTCTAAAGGTGGGAAAGGGGGAAAGATGGGAGTAAGGCTTCACAGAAAAAGGTGTCATCAGATTTTTTTTAATACATTAGCAAAACATTCCCTGAAATGATTGAACCCTTTGGACTGAAATTTCCCAGAAAGATTCATGTCAAAGGCAAACACTTCAATAGATAAATCCTGGCAAAGTTGCAAGCAAGTGAGACATGTCCAAAGTGTTCCTGCCACTTCCTATTGTAACAGGCAAAGTGAGTAGCTTATCTATATAATTTAGAGAGCAATGAGACTATGCATGTCTGTAACAGATTTCATTAAAGAATTCAATAACAGCTTTTATCAACCTAGGCCAAACTACAATATTGTTTAACTCATTCATGTATAGAGCATTTTGTCACAAAAAAATTGTGTGTTTAATAGTGTGGACCCTGTTCACATTAAAAATGAACTATTAATGGTCAGAAAAGAATGGCACCTAGTAGGTGAGGTTTCTATAGCAAAAAAGTGCTTTCCAAGGGACATAAGCAATATACTTCCAAAAGCTTAAAGTATATCCCATGAGACCCATGTATTATAATTAAAGAGCCTCCTCATGAAATATTCTGCAATGTTAAAATGACTGTTGTTCTAGATATGAATGCAAGTGTTTCAAGACTCAAGTTCAAACACCCGTAATACAAACCATATCCTTAACATAAAACACTGAGTGTCCTTCACTGCAGTTTTGAAATCAAGTTCATTTCCACACTAGAAAGCATTTAATGGTTCCCTTCTTCTTTTGATTTCAATACCTTTAAAAAGTTTTGCAGTGCATCCTGAACAGTGGCATTAGGGGGTGTTTCAAACAAGGCAGAAGCCGTCTTTTTTTCAAGCCATCCCAGGTGAGAGACCTATGATGAAACAGTAACATAAGACTATCACCAAAGACTATCACCATGAAAATCAGGAGTAAGCTCATGTCACCTGGAATTCAGCAATACTCAAAACCAAGAGCATGCAGGACACTTGCACATCCACAGAACCCACACGCTAAAACTATCCATTAACATCTGCTCAAGCACACAGATAAATTTATCAATACAATCGAACCCCATCCCTCCTTCCACCCCCTTTCCTATCTTATAGTAGAAGTCAAACTTTGCAACTTTGGCTACTGGTTGCAACAGGTGTATGGATATGTAAACAGTGCATCTTTGTAACAAGATTTATGGTGGCGCAGCTGCCCAGGGAGTTTTAAATTCTACTATCATCTTATAATCACATCAGTTTCTTGCACCTTTAACCTACATACAAGATCAGGCCAAATATATTTACCCTCCTTCTCCAGACCACAAATAGCAGAATATTGAGGACTGAGTCCTGTACCAGAACGTGTCCCCAGTGCCCCCCACCCCCACGCCAAAAAAGGATGGTTAAAATTGGCTCAACAACATACTTTCTCTTAAAGAAACATGTAGTTACAGTAACTGCTCATTGAAATCTCATTGTCATGGCCCCAACTCTTTTATTAATCTCAAATGAATCTCCAGAGCTGTTCACTTCTCTGGAATTACAGTGGACAGCATGGAATTGCTATTTCTGAAAACAGCTCAGAACCTCTTCACTTACTACTATATACTTCTATAATCAATTACAGATTGCTAATTTGGTGCCAGTAAAGGTATCAGATCTTTGTAGAACAGAAGCTTCAGGCAGATTCACAGGCAGTGAAGAACAGAACTAAATTATTATATAGGGCCTGTGTTTATTATATAGGGACAGGAAAAAGGACAATGACAGGCTGCTCAGATATGTAGACAGCACTTCCCTGGAAAACTAGAGGTACACAAAGCAATGTATAATTGGAACTATGTTTCAAGACGTGGACAGTTAACAAGTAACACAGCTGCATACAAAGATCAGTATAGACAGGATAAGGGCCTTGGAACTGAACTTCCATCTGGATATAAATTTAAACTACATTACGCATACTTCAGCAGTCTTTCGCTGCAAGTAACTCAGCTAGAAGCACTTCTAACTTGTATAAATCAAGAAGTGGATGGTCTCACCAAACCCTTATTTATTTTTATAGGCACTAAAACTGACTGATGGTATTTGACTTCCAGCTTTTCCCTGTCAAGGGCCATAAAGCAGCCGGCACGCTTCCCCTAATATCACCAATACTCTGTGTAGCAAACACAAAGGAAACGCACGCAAAGGATTATACAGATATATTGTATACAGGAGCCCTGGCCAGCTTTGAGATATCTTTGATCACATCCATATGTGCTCAAAAGACTGAAGATGGTTTGTTTTTACTGGAGTATAGCATGGGAAAAAGTAAGAACATGAGCAAATCTGTAAACAGTAATCTTTTCTCATTGTTCTTTTTACTGTCCACTTCCCATACCCCTGGCAATGAATACAGAGCTAAATCAGAAGCAAAAAACTATCCAAAACCTCTGATTTTTAGCAGCTCAGAAGTGTGACTTTTAGCAGGTTTGAAGAGATGTAACGAAGAGGGGAAAATGGGAGTAAAATGGTAGTAATGAGTAAATGAAAAAGTCAACAGCCTTTATTTTTTCTGGGTAAGAAAGTAAAAGGTATGGGAAGTATTTACTGACACAAGGCAAAAGTATATTACATAAGTAAGAGCAAATGGTTTTGTCAAACTGAATTATTATTATGCAGACTGGAAATTTAAAAAATACATCTAGCTCCATGTGTTTCAATACCTCACATTGTTCTCTATCCCAGGCTTTGATCACTATCTGAGAACCAGGGCACAGAAAATGTATACTAGACCTGAAAACATTTACACTTATTACAGACTGCATTTGTAACATTCCCTCTCTACTGTGGGAATGGAACTCTCCTGAATTGTAGAAGTTGCTAGAAAAAAACATTTTACCATTTCAAAGGTGGGATTGCAAATCATAAAGCAAAATAAATATTAATTTTAGCTGTAGTTGATATTTGGAATGTACATAGACTAGGGTTAGATTAGATAAATCATATATTCATATCATATATCATGGATATTCAAGTGTAAAGATAATAAAGGTCGCAGGCTCAGCACCAGCTCTCTGAAGTGAACAGTGACATTACAGTGTCTCCACCATGTGGTAGGGAAGCCAGTTTGCACTGAGCAAATGACTACCCTAGGATGACGATGCCTTTGGGAGCAGACAGATGACCAGTACATCTATCCAACCTACACTACTAACTTTCTAAATAGTAACTTTACCATGAAGCAGGGTACCCTACATTGATGTAGGACTGCATCATGGTGACACGTTGCTTCTACCATGGAATAAAATTATTATACACCATAATAAGCATGTCCACAACCTAGGATGGGAATCTGAATAACAAAGATTAGAGTCTAGGAGAGGGAAGTCCAACTTCTGAGCAGCCAGTGGCTGCACCAGCACGAATCATGCCCCCACATCCTGAGGCTGTATGTTGTACAGGCGCCTCCCGCACAACACACATGGTATGCCCTCCCCCCATTCCCTGCTACACCCACAGTGGGGCCAGAAAGCAGAAGCCAGAGGAGGGAGGGGGAGGCCTAGAGACCCTGGCTGCTGCTGCAGCCAAAGCGATGGGGGAGTAGAGGCCACACGCAACCCATGGGCTGCCAGTTGGACAGCCCTAGTCTAGCATATTGTGTCATGAGAGGCATAAAAATTAAAATTTTGTAGTCTTTGTAAACTGGGGTGAAAGGAATGAGAACATTTGTTTCTAGATCTTGCACTGCAAAAGATTTTTTTCATGTGTCAAACATCTTTATCAGTGCTCTTCTGATACCAGTTTAGAGTTGAAAATCAGCTGTGGACCCTGGGCAACATTCAATTTCTATGTACAAACAGGGAACTTCAGTAGGTAGGGGATTTCCCTGTTGCTCTATAAGGATTTTCTAACACAGCATTCAGCTTCCACTACTGAATAGAATTCAACTAAGGCTTATGCCTGATGGACTGTATCTGCCATCTCCTCCATCCAAATGGAGGATCAGCTCCCAGAGAAAAACACTTGGAACATCCCAACTGCTGCCCATTGTGCGTGGTAACAGGCCAAAAAAGCTATTTACCTGGTAGCACCACCTGCCCAAAAGATAGTAAGACCTGGGGTCATCCGGTTTCAGACTGATTGCTTTATCAATGTGTTCCTAAAAAAAACAAACCACAGCCAAAACAAAGAATTTTTTTATGATAAAATCATTTTACTACATAAAAGTGGAGTGGTTTTATTTCAGGGATATGAGTTTAAATCATTAAACTGGATTGCTGAAATCCTCTTCAACATTTCAGACTGTATCACCCATACACTGTCCGAATGACCGAATCCCTCCCTCCCCTACAGTCCAACAACTTATCACATAAAATTTTAAGTCAATCTTTATACTCTAGAAAGAATAATTTCAGACATAAAGCAGCATCTATTTTTACTCACCTTAAAAATAAACCCAGTTTGAATGCGCTTCTGAATATTCTCATGTTCTGACAACTGGCCACAAAGAATAGCATACCTACAAGACAAACCTTCAGTAAGAAATCACACGTATTCTGTCGCAATCTCCAAACATTTTCCATCAGAGCATAACTTCTCTTCACAATCGAAATGTGAACCTCATCTTCCCTGTGTGATTGGGAAGTAGCCTATATATGCCACAAATGGAGAAATTAAGGCAGCAAAAGATACTGGACTTGCGCCAAGGCATATTAGCAAGCCTGCAGCACAGCACTGGCTACATCTCAGGGGTCCTAACATAAGAAAGCCCTGTAATAGATAACATTCCCTGTAATTAAAAAAAAGTTATAGAATATTTGTTAAACAGCTTCATTCTCTTCATCTGTCAACTAAACAACATCAAAATACAAACACTACAGGCAGCAAAGACTGCATCCAAAGGTAGCAAGAGCCTAGAAGGGAAAACAGCAACTAAACAACATCAAAATACAAACACTACAGGCAGCAAAGACTGCACCCAAAGTCAGCAAGAGCCTAGAAGGGCAAACAGCAACACTAGTGCATCGCAGGCTAGGTAACTGTCCAGAGATAATGCAGGACTGATACTGTTTTTGAAGGGGTTTGAAACTCTACTTTGAAGAGAAGTGTTGTGAAACTCTGTCCAAATCCCTCCTCCCATAATCACCACCAACAATGAACAGCAGCTAACACAGCAAACATCTTTTATGTTGCAAACTCAACCTGGTTTATAATTGAGCATCTTGCACCACAACTGTCCCACAAAGACACTCCTAACAAGACAAACAAAATTCTACTTTGCTGCCATCCATTTTTTAAACATCTAAAGTTCTAGTACACACCTGTGCTGATGGGCACTGATATCCCTTGAGCTACCTTTGGGCTTTTAGTCACAGCAGATGTTCATAAAGTATCTCATAAAAAAAAAAACAAACCTTTTTGAGGTTCTGCTCAAAAACATGACAAGATCATAAAATGCTGAATCCTTTATTCCTCTTCTCATTTCTAAATGTCTGAACCTGTCTTTCACGGTGTCAAAATTATAATATTAAAAACCTGCCTCTTGCTTTCTCTTCCACTTCTTCCTTTCTCTAACTCCATTCATCCACTCCCAACTATATATTATATTTTCCTCTACATAAATTGTTCTCCTTCCCCACCCTTCAAAGAAGCTTTTAAAGTAAGGTATGATTTATATATCAAAGCTGTGGAATGAAAAACACAGGGTAACTGGAACTAGATACCAGTACCTTGAAGAGCAGCCTAGAAACACAAGCGAGAGTCTGCAGGTCCAGACAGGGAAAAGTAAGCAGGGGCAGACGTAGCAACATCCATCTCCAGAAGTCAGGCTGTTCTGCTGTGTCCTGTGTTGCCATGCTGCCACCATGAAAAGCATGTGCTGTAAGGAGGGTGGAGAGGGAGTTTGTAACAGCCCACTGCCATGAGTATGGGGACTTCTAGGAGTCAGCTATAGCAGTTTACTGCTGTCTTCCCTATGTGCGCCACAGACAGATCCTCAGGGAAATGCCCCATGTGGGTCACTGAAAAAAATTAGGTTGCTGTAAAAGCAAAATTTTATCCTTTTATTGAAGGAAGTGCACTTCATACCCTGGACAATGTAGAACACTGGAGCAGTAGCAATACAGATTAAAATGCTATGCACATGCTAGAGATGTTACTGCTAGATGAGCATGCCAGACTCTACCTAGGTCAGCAGAAGGGTGAATTGAGAGAAAGACTGCATATCTAGAATATGGGACTAAGATGACACTTTCTGCTGCAGGTGCTAAAAGATGCTGCATCAGATACAACTCTGTCCTTTGAAACTTATAAAACTGTGTAAGCAGAAGTTTCAACATGCTTTTAAAAATCTTCATCTGATATTAAAAATCTGATTTTCATTGCTAATTACAGGCATCAATAGAATAATGCCTCACCGGATGGATTTCTGGCCCAGAAAGTAGTGACACTGCCACGATCTGCTTACTTGACAGGTGGCTTGCAAAGTGTTCAAAATACAATTGGTACATGCTATGCTAGACTCCTTGGGGCTTGGATCCCACACAGTGGCATTTAGCTAAATCCACATGTAGGTGGGATTAAAGGTTAGAAACAGAAGAAACACATATGGGTCCCTGGCTTCTGGGATTATTTAATTTTTAAAGAAACCACATATTTCTAATCCTAGCGATTTGTAAAGAACAGCTCCAAAATATTACTTTTATACATGAGCTGGAAGATAGCTAGGGACAGAGGGAGAAGTTAGCAATTACAGGAACCAGAAAACACCATTTAAGACCCCACAACTGTCACCAGAAGACACTATGCTTTCCTGGTATAGGGTAGGACACTAGATGCGTCACTGGTCAGCATTCCTTTCCTCTGGCCTTTTGGCTTCATAGGTTATAAGAAGGAAGGATGAACAAGTAGTGGACAACCTCTTCAATGTAAGAGAATGCTGTATTTACTTGCTTACCATATGCTCCTTTCCCCCAAAAAAGTCACCACTCCAAAATTGGGGTGCATGTCTTAAATAAGAAAGCTGATTTTCTTCACCTGAATAAAAGCATGGAGACACTGTTTTGCAAAATGACTGCCAGCTGCTCTCTCAGCAAGCAACAGAAAGGGTGGAAGCCAGTTGCTTTCACAGCTGCTCTTAGCTCTCTGGCTGAGAGAGAAACAGACAGTCATTTTGCAAAAGTTTCTCCACAGAAAGGCCAATGCTAGACCATGTCTGGAAAGACCATGTCTTTCTCTCTACCATTCTGCCTTCCAAAAACAAGGTATGCATCTCATTTGGGGGCAAGTTGTATGGGGAAGAAATATGGGAGATTGCAGAGATCATTACAGAAAAAGAGCAGACATCCTTTCTTTCACATCTTGATCAAGAATGAAACAGTTTTGGTTTTTTTGCTTCATTTTATTCTTCACTGTGCATCTGAATAAGCACCCCACTGAGATGAAGAGCTATTATTTAGGCTGTCTGTAACTTTGGGCACATATTTTTAGTACCTTAAACTTGACCTGAGTGAATCCGTACAGCAATCAAAAGGTCTAGAGACTTCCTCTGCTTTTTAGCATGACAATATACTCACCTACATACTATTGGGTACTACATGCTAACCTGGCCCAATAGGAGCCTCTGATAAGAAAGCCACGCAGCCTTTAATTCATACAATATTCAGCTCCTAATAATGCTACCCATATCAGACGTTTTCATCATATTTCAGCTGGCCTTAAAAGCTGTAAGTGCTGTAGCTGTAATATTGCGACATGTCATGAAATGAATGGATAATATATGAAGAGATCTCTGAACTGGCTCGACTCAGGTCCTGATCTATGAGACACTGTGCAAGCTACTTTTGGCCTCAGTCTTATACTTGTATCTCCTGTTCCAATGCCTGCCTTGAGGTGCAGGATGTCAGCTGTTGGTGTCTGAGACTTTTTAATTTCCTAGCCTTTTGCCCTTTAGACCTGCAAATCCCCTCCAAAGCCAGTTTGCAATGCTATTATGGTTTCTGCTTCCCTCTTTCATTTGTTTAACTTGGCTAATTCTTCAACAGCTGAGCAGTTCACCTTAATTCATTTTCTGAAGTGCCTTCAGATACATTTTACAGAATTGAAAGACTATTAATAATAGATGGAAAATAAAAGGTCAGGAGAGGGGATTTTCATCTCCTTTAAACATAAGGAGAGAAATATAAGGAGCATTACGTAATCTCTGAAACACAGTATGGGGTTAGAAAGTCCCATTTCAGAAAGATGCTGAAGCAATTCCTGAAACTTTGCAGTATGCCACTTACAAAATTAATTATTAACCAGAACTGTTCATTTAGCTATTGACCTGGGTTAAACCACAAGCTCCCACTGGAATCTCAGCTCAGTTGTGGGTTCTCCATTTTGATGAAAAATGAGCCCAGCAGAGCAGGAATGACTTCTACCACAGACAAAAAACTATGTCTGCCTTCCCTACTCAAGTCCCAGAGCTCAGATCACACGGCCAGGCAGAAACCTCATTCCCACTGAACTCTGTCTGGCTCCAGTCTGAGCACGACTTTCAGTCTATAGGCTGACAATGTAAAACATGGAGGTGCTCATTAGACCAGCACCTCCGATTTACTAGTATGGGGATCCTGCCAACATAAAGAGTCCCTTAGCCTCCACAGTTGGTGGTCTCCGAAATAACAAAGCTGTTGGTGGTTCCTTCCTACAGAGTACAGCTGTTAAATTAAAAAAACCCCAAAAAACCAAAAAACACCCAGCAAGCAAGGGTTGGCGGGGGGTAAAGAAAGTGAGAAAAGTAGATGGAAACATGGCCATTTCTAATCAAATGATAAAGAAAAATGAAGTAGGCCATTTAATAATGCCAATGGAAACAAAGTCCAAAACTCAGATAGGTGAGCACTTCAGCAAAGATGGGAGAGACTGTTCATTTAATTTATTTGAACTAGAAGATCTATTTTGTGTACATTCAGAATCATGTAGAAATAATTTTATTTCTGTCAATATTATATGAGTCAATACAACTATGGGAGAACGAGAAGGACTGATAGTTAAAATCAGCACTATCTGTCATATTTCAAGTACAAGGCCAACCAGTTACACATGCAGACCCATTCAGAAAATATGGTGGCCAAGATGTTAGTCGGGAGGTGCTTTATTCCTAGAACTGGCGCACAAACCAAAAAACCCATGCCACATCTTAACTTTCAGATGCCATAGCTAGCAGTCTGGAGCACAGTTAGGGTAGAAAAAATACAATTTTTTTAAACCAAGCAAATAAGTCATTGAGACACTAAACCCAATGTGCCATTTTAACAATCTGCTGAGTATGTGGACACACATCTGTAATATTTTTTATAAATCATGTACATGAATCTTCCCTCTTTCCTTTGTACTATTACCTACCAGGCACAGGGATTAACTCCTCCTCTGGACTGGCAAGAGTGCAATAGGGATAAAGAATATGTAGCTGTCTGGATCAGCAGGAAACAGGTCATCCAGAACTGAACAGAGCTATTCACCTGTGAATAACCTATCTTGGTGAAGACCATGGAAACCTGAATGCCTGGACAAAACAGCTGGAGTAGAAAAAATGGGAACAAAGGGGCCAAGTGTGAAGAAACTAAGCTGTACTGAAATCTAAGAACACAAGAACAGCGGGGTAGATGAACCTCAAGACGTGCTGGGTTACATGGAGCCGTCTGCACAAAGAATTCTGAGGGCTTGTCTACAAAGGGGAGTTATTATGAAGGAGGCCAGAGTATGAATTTACAGTACATTACGACTTCTTTAATTCCCCATGGAGACACACGGGATACTCTAGCTTACCCGACTTCAGAAGTGGAAGAAGTTAAAAAAACACAAACAAAACTCATTCTTCATACAAACCAAAAGTATCCATACAAGAAATGCAGAGTACCTAATGTGCTGTAAATTCGTATCCTGTCTTACTACACATTCTCTTTCCTACAGATAAGCCCTGAGTCAGGCCATGGTTTGGCCACACTAGCCTAAAGACCCCATATACAATATACCAATTGCGTAATAAACACTGCTTAGTTCGAAGACTATCTAACATCACTATAATTATTACTGGCTATCCTTCGTCTTACAAAGACGACCCCAACATAAGATTATTAAGATTTGCTAGACAGACGATGGGAGACAAATAGTGGTCTTAAGAGCTGAAAAAGATGTGGGATTTGCCCTTTTAGAAGAAGTATTAACATAAAAAGGAAGATTCAAAAGGAGACTGCCTGAATACTGGGAATTTCAACAGCCTCTAAACCTGTGACTTCTTCCAGATTAGAAGATGGATAACACTTTGGGCTGTTACTATTATTCTTACTTCTCACTCTTCCATGAAGACTCAGTTAAACACACATATATTTTCACTACAGACTATTTCATTCCTGGAAAAAAAACCCATAAGCTGAACGCAACCCTGCAGTTTACCAATTTCTCTCAGGATTTAGAAATAGATTTTATTCTTTCTATAATAATTTTCTAGAGTTTGTGAGTAATCTCTTTTGGAAAAGTGTGTTCTCCGTTCCTTTTTAAAAG